ATTATTGAGCATGCATCAGGACACACTGTGCAACCTGGATTATTGAGTATGCATCAGGATACACTGCAAATCTTTTTTTAAATGGATATTTCTTTTTGCAAGCACATACTGCACTTCTCCCCCCTTACATTCATTGTAGTCCTAACATTTAAACAGAAGAGGCACTATTTTAAAAATCACACGTAATAAAACAACAGCAAAGCAAATCACTAAATTGTGTCAAACACATGAATCCCAGCACGAATCAGATGTTGCAATAAAAACAGCAGTGGAGAACATTTGCTCCCTCAGATTTGTAAAATGTTTGTGCAATGCCTTGGAAAGGTCGTCATACCTCCTAAATGTTTCCACAACTGTTATACTGGGGTTGTATGGATGGCAGCCATCCATCCATCCATCCATCCATCCATCCATCCATCCATCCATCCATCCATCCATCCATCCATCCATCCATCCATCCATCCATCCATCCATCCATCCATCCATCCATCCATCCATCCATCCATTATCTTTACCGCTTCTTCCTTTTTGGGTCACGGGAGTCACCATTGCCCATATCCAGCTATCACTGTGAGAGAAGCACCCTGGACAGGTCTCCAGTCCATCACAGGGACACCTGGACAGGTCTCCAGTCCATCACAGGGACACAGAGAGACAAACAAGACAACCATTCACTCTCTCACTCTCAATTAGGGACAATTTAAATGGTAAATGGACTGTACTTATACAGCTCCTTTCTATTTTTATCAAGACACTCAAAGCTCTTTACAACAATCTGTGCCTCATTTACACATTCATACAGCTCTATACTAGATCTGTACAAAGCTAATTGAACAAATCATTCTAATGAGACTAATCAGACCTTTAGATCACATTCAAACACAGATGGGACACACATCGGAGGCAATGAGGGGTTCAGTGGAGGGGGTCCAGTTCGGTGGCCTCAGGATTCCATCTGTGCTTTTTGCAGATGATGTGGTCCTGTTGGTGTAATCATGCCGTGATCTTCAGCTCTCACTAGAATGGTTTGCAGCCGAGTGTGAGGCAGCTGGGATGAGAATCAGCACCTCCAAGTCTGAGGCTATGGTCCTCAGTCATAAAAGGGTGGATTGCTCTCTTTGGATCGAGGGTGAGGTTCTGCCTCAAGTGGAGGAGTTCAAACATCTCAGGTTTTGTTTATGAGTGAAGGGAAGAATGGAGCATGAGACTGACAGATGGATTGGTGCAGCATCCGCAGTATTGTGGACTCTGTACCAGTTCGATGGGGTGAAGAGGGAGCTGAGCTGTAAGGCAAAGCTCTCTGTTTACCGGTCCATCTACGTTCCTCCCCTCACCTCTGGTCATGAACTCTGGGTAGAGACTGAAAGAATGAGATCGTGGATACAGGAGGTTGAAATGAGTTTCCTCTGCAGGAGCTGGACTCTCCCTTAGAGACAGGGGAGAAGTTCAGTTATCAGGAGAGACTCAGAGTAGAACCACTGCTCCTCCACATCCAGAGGAGCCAGTTGAAATGGTTCATCTGGTAAGGATGCTTCCTGGGCGCCTCCCTAGGGAGGTGCTTTGGGCATGTCCGACTGGAAGGAGACACCGGGAAAGACCCGGGACACACTGAAGAGACTCTGTCTCTCAGTTGGTCTGGGAACTTCTTGGAGTCCTCCCAGAAGAGCTGGAAGAGGCTGTGGAGAGAGATGTCTGGACCTCCCTGCTCAAGCTGCTGCCCCTGAGACCTGACTTCAGTATAAGCAGAAGGTGATGGATGGATGGATGGATGGATGGATGGATGGATGGATAGATGTATGTATGGATGGATGGATGGATGGATGGATGGATGGATGGATGGAATCTTGTTGTATTACATGATGTAAATACAGTAACTTGTTGCCAGTCTAAACAGTATCATTATAGCTACATTGCCCCATCACTAAGCCAAAAGGGGTATTGGAAAAACCCTCCAGCAACCCGTCCATTTGTCTGTACATCTTGTGATAACTTCCAACAAAAGGGAGGTAAAGACTTCCATTTTGGTGTGTGGCTGCATCTAGGCATAAGAAAGGTCGCTACTGAAAACTGGGTTGCCACGTCAGAACCCAAGATGGCTACCACCATAAGTATATTTTAACTAACCAGTGTTATCATTTGAGAAAACTACACTTTTTCTTTTTATATTACTTAAAAGTCTAGTTTCATTAAATGATTTGGTATGCTGAGTGTTTGTTTGTTTGTTTGTTTTTTAAAATGGGTAGTGTTGTCACTGAATATATTTATAAGAATAAACATCATACCACTGCTGGAGATCGTAGTCCTGGTATACCACCCCGATCGTCCTCCCCATGTGGTTTGCACATTGAGCAGCTTGAGTTTGTCAAACATTTCTTCAGATCCTATCTGCTGCTTGTCAGTGGCCAAATTTCTGAGTACTCTGTTTATTGAAGACACCTGGGAATAAAGAGAAAAGCACAAGAGAAGCCTTACATAGGAGTCACACATACTGGCAGTATACAATGACTCAGGAGAGGAAAAAAGAAGAGGTGGGTGGGTTTTTTTTTATAAGTTTGGAAACTAAAGACCTCGTCTTGAACCAGTCAGAAGTACAGTCTACTCCTGCAGCAGTGTCATAACAGAGGAACTTCCTTTAGACCTTCACAATAAGAGTCTCACACAAACAGTTGAATTGAAAAATAATCTTAAAGCACGATAAACTTATTGTTAAAACAAATAATTCATAATAAAAGTAATAACATTAACAGCAACAACAATAACAAAAAAAAACAAAAAAAAACAGCAACAACAATAATAATAACGATAATAATGGTAATAATAATAATAATAATAATAATAATAATAATAGTAATAATTATAATAATAATGAGGACACAACAACAGTTATAATAATCATAATAATATTAACAATAACGACAACAATAATAATAATATCAATAATAATAATGATGACAATAATAATAACAATACTAATTATTATTATTAAATATTATGAGACATTTTAAACTATTTAACCTCCATAAAAATGAGAAGGAAAGCCGTTTGAAGCTGCTCTGAAGCATCTCAAAGCCCCAAACAGCTGAATGTAATACTGAAACACCTGAAAGGGTCAAATTAAACCTTAAACAAACGTCAACCAGCTCATATTAAATCTTCTAATGGCCCAAAGTGTCCGTGAAGAATAAAAAAAAATCATGTTTTGTGTTGGATGCTGCTGCTGAAGAACACGAACATCTTAAAGTAAAGAGGAATGTTCTGTTTCTGTTCTGTTCTCCTTTTATAAAAAATATATATTAGCATTTTATCACAAATATGACTTTTTTTTAAACAACAGTATTTTGTCTCTAAGTCGTTTTGTGTGGGTCACTGGAAATGCACAGATGATAGTGTATAAAAATAAAAACATAATAAATACAAAATGATAGTGGTTACATTTTGGAAACATTTTCAAAATCAGCAGCAGTGAAATGGAAAACATGAAGTCCCTAACATTAATATATTTGACAGCTCCTTTATTTCTTAATGTTTGTTGGGTTTCTGTTTACAGATCAATTCTTTGTAGGGCCTCCCGTCTACTGGGGCCATCACAACGAGCAAACACACCTAAACACTCTTTTAGTTATTTTACACCTCCCTGATGCAACCTGGACTCTAACCCTCAGCCTCACGAGACCAGCACTGACCGCTGATCCTCCACAACCCTCAGCTTTTACTGTTGAGGCTCTGAAAATGTGCATCAGAGGCTGGTGGAGTTGTCTGCAGTTCCTATTTGTTTCTTCTTTAAATGTAAATCAAGCAATAAATCAATCAATCAATAAATTAATTAATAAATGTGCTCAAAATAGCAATCTAGAAACAAAACATAAAGGCAAAGAGCAAATTTAAGCAAACCATGCAGTCCAGCGTTTTCTTTCTTTTCATACATTTTTCCGTAAAACGGTTCAATTTGATTCACTTTGTTGTAGCGCTGCTAGGCCCGGGGCTCCTTAAAATGTTCTTACTCCAAACAGAAGTTCGTGACGAAGCGTTTGAAAATACAACTTTAACAACATTTTTAACATCTGCTCCATCGTCTCCAGTTTGTCCAGAACGCTGCTGCAAGACGTACCAAACACAAGGAAGCACTGCCCGACTGTTCACGTGTCTTCACTGATTTGTGGTACATTTCAGGATTTATTGTTCTACACGGCACTTTGAGAAGCTTGTGTGGTACACATCCAGTAGATCTCACACATTTATGAACTTTATCTCTCTTTCCTGTCTGAAATCTATTGACAGTGTCGAGGGAATGCGTAATATTTGCTCTCATCGTGCTCCATAACGTTCACTTCTTCTGTACTGTGATTGTGAACGATGTCAACCTGTTCCACGTAGTCCAGTCAGTGACGGGACAGCAAGAGATCCTTTTTATTATCCTCAAGCTGATCGATACGATCACAATGACATAACCTCAGAGAGGCTTGAGAGCTGCTGACTCCCAGATTCCTCCCCCTCCTGACTGCAGCTGAGTTCTGAGAACAGACGGACATGGGGGGGGGGGGGGGGGGGGGCTGGAAGGTCCACTAAACTGATTTATTCTGTTCAGGAAGTCAGAACGGGTCAGAGCCTCAGACAGGTGAAGGCTTTCATAAGTGTGGACTTGTAAATGCACTGATCTTCTGTTAATTCTGACTGTTCTCTGTGTGAGAGGCGAGGGACACCCTGGACAGGTCTCCAGTCCATCACAGGGACATCCTGGACAGGTCTCCAGTCCATCACAGGGACACCGTGGACAGGTCTCCAGTCCATCACAGGGACACCCTGGACAGGTCTCCAGTCCATCACAGGGACACCCTGGACAGGTCTCCAGTCCATCACAGGGACACATAGAGACAAACGAGACAACCAACCATTCACTCTCTCTCTCACCTAGGGACAATTTAAAGTTACCAGTCAGTCTAACATGCATATTTTTGGTCTGTGGGAGGAAACTGGAGTACGCGGAGAAAACTCACGCAACACAGAGAGAACATGCAAACGCCATGCAAAAAGGTCCCCAGATGGGATTTGAACCAGCGACCTTCTTTCTGAGAAGCAACAGGTCTGTGCCTCCCTTGGCTGTTCTCCAAAGTTGTGTATTAAATCTGATGACGTTTACACCTGGTTGTTTTGGGAATCTCTTTTTTCCCACGCCAACAGACCGCTGGCGAGCCGCAAACTCATTTTAAAAGTTCACTTTTTAAAAATAATCTCAGTTACAGATCGACCTTTCACTTACGTGGCTTGTCTGAAACAACACAAGTGTCTTACACTGGGGATGTTGTCGTTGGTGCAGACTCCCTCTGCCAGTAGCCGATCCCTGATCTCCCAGGCAAAAATGGACGGGCACTCTCTCTTGTACTGAGCAATCTTCCCCACCACATCTGGAGTCGCCACCCTGGGTTTACTTCCTCCTATGGCTCGAGGGCGGATTGAACCCGTCTCATAATATCGACCCAAGATCTTACTCACACAGCCATTTGAAACCTGGACAAAAACAAGAAAAACAACAGCACCTAGCTTTAAGTAGTGAACCATTATAGTCGTGATTTTCTAGATGCAATCATTTATCCTAATCAATGACTGGAAAAACTGGGAGGCCTGACTGGTTTCAACTTGTATTCACTGTTTTAACGTTAAAGTTGTACAAAGTGTTTCGTAAAGTGCAGCATGTTGTACTGCACTCATTCAGTGTCTTTCCCAGTTGAATTCAGTTCAGGTGCCGGGTGCTGAAGCCAGAACATTAGAAAAAGATCATCTGATGTTGAGAAATGAGGAAGTTGTAGATGTTTTGATCAAACCTTGATCTAAGGTTCAAGGTCGACTGACCAACCGACCGACCGTCTGTCTGTCCATCATCGCTTGTTCAGTTCAATTTATTTATAAAGCGCCAAGTCACAACAGAAGTCGTCTCAGGGCACTGAACACAAATGTTCATATTTAAAAATAATAATTGAACATTATTTATCTGAGGAGCAGCTTTGAGTTTAACTCCATCACAGAACTCTCATCTTGAACAAGCATGAAGGCGACAGTGGAAAGAAAAACTCCCTCGTGAGGAAGAAACCTTATGGACTCAGGTCTTGGGGCAGCATCTTGAGCAGGGAGGTCCAGACATCTCTCTCCACAGCCTCTTCCAGCTCTTCTGGGAGGACTCCAAGGTGTTCCCAGGACAACAGAGAGATGTAGTCTCTTCAGCGTGTCCTCTATCTTCCCTGGGGTCTTCTCCCAGTTGGACATGCCTGAAGCACCTCCCTAGGGAGGCTCCCAGGGAGCATCCTTACCAGATGCCTGAACCACCTCAACTGTCTCCTCTGGATGTGGAGGAGCAGCGGTTCTACTCTGAGTCTCTCCTGATAACTGAACTTCTCACCCTGTCTCTGAGGGAGAGTCCAGCTACCCTGCAGAGGAAACTCATGTCAACCTCCTGGATCCACAATCTCATTCTTTCAGTCACTACCAGAGTTCATGACCAGAGGTGAGGGGAGGAACGTAGACTGACCAATAAACAGAGAGCTTTGTCTTACAGCTCAGCTCCCTCTTCACCACAACGGACCGGTACAGAGTCCACAATACTGCAGACGCTGCACCAATCCATCGGTCAAACTCACGCTCCATTCTTCACTCATGAACAAAACCCAGAGATACTTGAACTCCTCCACGTGAGGCAGAACCTCACCCTCGACCTGAAGAGAACAACCCACCCTCTGAGGACCATGGGCTCAGATTTGGAGGTGCTGATAATGAGTCACATCCCAAACCTTGAACCACGACATTACTTCTGTGTGTAAAGACTAATTAGCTGTGATGACCTTCTCCAATCAGTTTGGCTCCAAAAGTTAATGTATGGATTCAGATTCAAGGTTTTTTTTCTTTAAGTTTCAATAAAACTTGTTTATTGGTTTATAGGATATTTTGGTTGCATACAAACAAACGTGCACACAGACACGGGCAACAATATTATTGCCCACCTTTGGCTTTCAGCAGTGAGCAGTTATGATGCCACTTCTGTCAGCAGCTCAACGTACCTGCAGGATTCTGGAGATGTCACAGGGCCGAGCTCCACTGTGGGCGAGCTCCACGATCTTCTGCCTGGTAGAATCAGGTAAGGGCCTCCCGTTCACAAACACACCTCCAAGCTGGTTTACTCCACTATGATCTAAACTCACACAACACACACACATGCACATGCACACACACACACGCACGCAATAGCAGAGGAGGGAAAAAATACTTAACAATAGTCTAAGAGAAAGACAGAACATTTTCAAAATATGAAGAATGAAGTATAATAAAGGAAGCATGGTGCAGAGGAAAGACAAGACAAAGTGTCAATGACAAAACAAAAACATTACATCTTATTGTAATATTTTTAAGAACAATTGACCAGACTTACATTATGAATGAACAGTTTCAAGTCAACTTTAATGTCATTTCCAACACATATGGTACATGACGTGGAACAAAATTATGTACACAGGGTCCCAGTTACACCCGAAAATAGCAAAATATAAGTATAAAAAGAAACAGTAAATAAGGATCTAAGACAGGGCTGGTCAAGTGATGGCCCGGGGGCCAAATCAGGCCCATGGATGAACTCAGGTCCATCAATGGATTCGTTTTAAATAAAACTAAATTATAAACTGTAAAACAAACTTAATTAATGACAATAACTGCTGAATGTGTGACCCCTGAACTCATGACTTTCAGTAACTGTGGCCCCATGAGCAATTTAGTTGAATAATAAATTAAGTTATTCACTCAACACTAATAATGTAAAACAGTGAGGTGTAACAACAGCAGCCCGAACACGAGTCCGTGATGAGCAGATAGGTATGAAGGAATACAGCAGAATGAGATCAGCAGCAAAAATAGATAATCAGCAGCATGAGATCAGCAGCAGCATAAGATCATCAACAGCATGAGATCATCAGCAAAAATAGATAATCAGCAGCATGAGATCATCAGCAGCATGAGATCAGCAGCAGTATAAGATCAGCAGCAGCATGAGATCAGCAGCAGCATAAGATCAGCAGCAGCATAATATCAGCAGCAGCATGAGATCAGCAGCAGCATGGATACGTCATACATCACCAATTAAAGTGGCATTACAGTTTTTTCTTACAGTGATTATCCTGGATAGGGATTCATGAGTCTAACAGCTTCAGGGTAGAAGCTGTTCCTCAGTCTAGTGGTTCTACACTTAACGATGAAAGAAGATCAAAATGTCGATTGCTAGATGCTGACCAAAGAATATAGAAATAATCGAGGTGCTGAGCGTCACTTTTACAAGTTTGTGTGAAGCTTATAAAGTTCTGTGAGCTCAACACAATCCAGATCTGCAGAGTTTTAACACAACCCGAATATGATGCAACGCAATCTGAAGATGATGCAACACGACCCGAATATGATGCAACGCAATCTGAAGATGATGCAACACGACCCGAATATGATGCAACACTGGAGGTTAAGCAGAGATTTTCACTCAATCAATTCTCTGTTTTTTTAACGGATGAGAAAGCATATTGCAATTTTATAAACCTTCAACAGGGCATTAGTAAATCATGCAAGCAGTCTAAACACACACATGCATGCACATGCACCCCCCCCCCCCACACACACACACACACAGAGTAAATAATTAAATGGGACCACATGCCGGTTTTTCACTTGACTGTGCTGTTATAGAAATAAGGTGCACGTGAATGTGTTCACAGCAGATTGTCAGGCATTACTGTGCTTGGTCTGACAGGTAACCCCTCTAGTAATTAGAACTCTAGTAATTTGATTGTTTTTTCTTCTGAGCCATGCACCTCACTGATTCCTCACAAATTCATCAGATGGAGGCTGTCTTTTGATTGATGAAAATGGAAAGACATGAGTGAGTAAAGGCTCTGTGTCCCACGGTGCTGAGGAGGACGAGAGGCACGTTGAGGTGGATGGAAGAGGAAGAACGAAGGGAGCGTGAATGGGTGATCATGTGCAGGAGATGGGTCTGATAGGGAGGGGCGAGGTTGTGGAAGGCCTTGATGAGTACAACAGGATTTTAAATTGAATTCTGAAAGTGAAGTTGCTGTAAAACTGGGGCGATGTGGTGAAATGAGGGGGTTTTGGTAACGATGCAGGCAGCTGAATTTTGAACCATTTGAACGGAGTAATTTGTGCGTCAGACCAAATAGGAGAGAGTTGAAGGAATCAATTCGAGACGTGACCAAACTATGGACCAGGATGGAAGCAGAGTGCGGGGAGAGGGATGGACGGAGACGGTTGATGTTTGGAAGGTGGAAATATGCAGACCACCAGTAACTGAAAAGTAGGTTTAAGTTCACGTCAACTTTCTTTCTCACCACATGTGGTACATGAGGTGGTATTAAATTATGTACTCAGGGTTCCAGTTACAGCTGACAATACCAAAAATATAAAGTGTAAAAAGAACCAGTAAAAAGGATCTAAGATATAAACTAAGATATACGCTAAACACTATTAATGCAAAGCAACACGGCGTAACAACAGCAGCCCGAACATGAGTCCGTTGTGAGCAGATGGGTATGAACGAATACGTATATACATGTAGTACATTTAGTTAAAGTTCTGCCTTCAAATATATTGAAAATATTGTGGCTCTGTAACTTATAAAACATTTAAAAACTTTTTTTTTTAATCCTTTTATAGGACGAAGCAGAGACGCAAAGAGACGAACAAACATTTACACTCTCGTGCACACCTTGAGACAATTTACAATTACCAACCAGTCTAACACAACTGGTTTCTGGGAGAAACCGCAGTTCCCAGAGAAAACCCATGTGTGAACTGAGCGAACATGAAAACTCCACCCAGAAAGTTTCCAGACTGGGAGGTGATCCTGCTACTTTCTTGCATAGAGGTGGCAGCTCTAATCACTGCACTGCCGCCCCGCTTGACACATCCAACCATAGTATTCCAAATCAAAAACTATCAATTTGTGTCTTTCCCAGAGAAGTTTACTGTGGTTTAAATCACATCCTTCAAATTAAGAGTGTGTTTTATCACTGGTGGGGAGAAATTATCCTTTCTTAAATAGAATGCAGGTGTACCACTAGGCTCAGTTCTTGGTCCTCTTCTTTTTAGTTTCTATATAAATGATTGACCTGATTTGTGTCCTGGTGCAGATTATTTTGGATGTGTGCTGATCATTCAACTGTGTAAATTTATCATAAAAATATCATATTAGTGTGAGCACAGCTGTGATGTGATTTAGAGTGTATTGCGGCATGGTTTGAAAAGTCGTCTTGACTTGGATGTAAAAAAATATCAGTTTGCTTTTCGTCGAGGGCTCAGTCTAGGGAAAATGGCTCAGATTTAAATTTGAAGCTAAGTGGAAAACATATAATACACAGTAGAAAGTACCGGGTCGACAAAAGTAAAATGAGGGTGGAGGTGAGTGCAACGTTAATGGAGATGAGTATCATGATGGAGGAGGAGGGTACGTAGTGATTAGTGACAGACAGCTTCCTTTCATTCCCCAAAAGGTACAAACTGACCAAAAACTGCAAATGTACCATTTTGGTAGAGGTCAACAATAATCTGGAGCCAAATCAAATGTATCAAGCTCAGAAATGTTGTGACTCTGCTAATTTTTAACTTCTTTGACATTTATTCAGTAATTAAACAATTCAAAGTTCGTTCATTCAAATCAGGGGTCCCCACATGGCGGACCGAGGTCCAGATCCAAACCCAAAAGAAGTTGTGTCTGGACCCAGGTCCCCCTGCGTCATTCAACTATAAAACTGGTGTTTTCCTCTGTAGCAGCTCCTGCTGAGTCTGAACGTGACGACATTATTCCTGCCTCTCCTTCACGCTGGTTGTGTTGTGGGCTCAGTTGTTTCCACTGCAGAAATGTTAATGACTGTCGGTTCTGTGAGGAACACAGCCAGGCTTCCTTCTGCTGACACACAATTAAAAGCCAGACATATGGAGTCAATTTGTCTCCGTCCCTCTGCGACATGCAAACACCGAGGAACACACACAGAACACGTCCCCTGGGAAAAGCCGGCAGCTCGCCTTTGAAATCAACTCATGCAGACATTCAGCTGCCCAGGCTCTTCGCAGCAGCAGCAGCAGGTGTTTCCCACAAACTGCAACAAACAAAACATTTCTAATGTTTGCTTTTATTGTCTGGATGTTTATGAAGCTTTCACGCTGGTGATCCATATTTCTTATCTTCATTTTTCAGCATCTTTCTTGTTCTACAATTTTTTTTGTTGGTATTTCAACAAATGGCATCAAAGCGTTCAGCTCTTTCAGGACAATCCTGCTCTGACTTCTGGTATTGATGCAACTTTAGCTGTTTGAAATATTTAGCCTTTTCTGCCATTTTTTCCTCATAGAAAATGAATCGATCTCATTTTCCATCCGTCACATCTTTAGATCTGTTTACAACCTTTTACTGCTCCTTTCACGTTTTGTTCTGCTTCAGCGTCTTTCAGTTTGCTTCTGCAAATTTAAGCATTTTCTTCAGCCACTTTCAGCTAATTTCATCTATTACTTCAGCTGTTTAGTGTTCCGTTTAGATTCTTTCTAACTACAACATTTTTGTGCTTCTTCTTTCTGTTAATTTCAGCTTGTTCTGCTGCTTTCAACTTATTTCTGCAAGTTTCAATCATTTCAGCTACTATTTAGCTGTCTTTACGCTAATTTTAGCATTTCAGCTAATTCCACCTTTTTTGCACTCATCTCAATGATTTTCAGCCTAATTCAGCAAAAATGTGCTCTCTCCACTTCCTTCTGGTAATTTAAGTTTCTTTCTGCATTTTAACTACTTTTCAGATTTTTAATTTTTTTTTTTACTAATTTCAGCTTTTTCAGATAATTTCCACCTTTTTGTGCTCATTTCTGCTTCTTTCAGTCTAATTAGGAACAAGTCTTCTTTTTGCTTTCTTCTGCTAATTTGAGCTTGTTCTACATTTTCAGCTACGTTTTTAGCACTTTTAGCTAATTTCATCTGTTTTCAATTAAATTCAAGTTTTTTTTTTGGTAATTTCTGCTACTTTCATCCTAATGAACTTATTTATGCTAATTTCAGCTTATTATGCTCCTTTCTGCTTTTTCAGCTACCATTTAGTTCTTTTTCTGTTAATTTTAGCTTTTTAAGCTAATTCCACATTTCTTTAGCTCATTTCAGCTCATTTAATTTCAGTTCTTTCAGGTAGTTTAAGCTTCTTTCTGCCTTTTCAGCTATTTTTTGTTAATTTCAGTATTTTTTTTAGCTAATTTCTTAATTTTTGTGCTCATTTTTGCCTATTTAAACCCAATTCAGCAAGTATGTTTTTTTCTGCTTTCTTCTGCTAATTTAGGCTTCTTCTTTCGTTTCAGCTACATTTCAGCATGTTGTTTTTTTTTAGCTAATTTCAGCTGTTCTTCAGCTTTTTCAAAAATACATCTATGTATTTTATGCTTCTTATTTATTTATTGCAGAGGTTAGAGAAGGTGGGCCTGTGATCGTTAGGTTGATGGTTCAATTCCTTGGACCAACAACATCAAAATGTGGGTGGGAAAGGCGAACCACCCACACCTGCCTCCACCCTTATCTGCCCCACTGTGGGCCCTCGATGGCAGCTCTCTGCTCCACAGAGGCTGTGGTAGCTCGGTGGTCCGTGGTTGTGTCAGGAAGGACATCTGGGATAAAAACAATTGCCAAATGTCGCTGGACAACTGTTGTGGCCCAAGGGGTCGCCAGTGAATTAGAGCGGAGCAGCCAAAAGATGTATTTAATATTTTTGTTTATTTTGCTAATTTCTGCTTTTTGTGCTCTTTTTCTTCAGCTTATGATCTGATTTATTTTCCTGCTTTGAGCAAATGTCAGCTGTTCAGGTTCAGCTCATATTAAGAGATCAAAAGTTTTCAGCTTCTGTCAACAAAAATTATTCGGCAGCAAGCGTTCACGTTGAAGTTTCCCAGGATTTTTCTGGGTTTAGTCACAGAGGCTCAGTTGGTGGAGCTGCTGCCTCTCAGCGAGCAGGTCGCCAGTCCAAATCCCAGCTGGGGGTCTTACTGGGTGGAGTTTGCATGTTCTCTCCGTGCTGCGTGGGTTTTCTCCTGGTACTCCAGTTTCCTCCCACAGACCAAAAACATGCATGTTAGGCTGATGGTAACTCTAAATTGTCTCTAGGTGTGAGTGAGAGAGAGTGAATGGTTGTTTGTCTCTATGTGTCCCTGTGATGGACTGGAGACCTGTCATGGGTGTCCAACCACCTCTCACACTGTGACTGCTGGACATGGGCACCAGTGACCCACAAAGGAAGAAGCAGGTAAAAGATGATGGATGGATGGATGGATGATGGATGGATGGATGGATGGATGGATGGATGATGGATGGATGGATGGATGGGTGAGAGAATAAGGTAAAACTCACTGTTCTGTGTGATGGAGGCCACGCCCGTCTCCCAGCTGCTCTGACTCCTGTAATCTGTTGAAACAACACAGTTCAACACAAGCAGCCGAACAAACGCAGCTTCTTTTACGACACGACATCAAACCTTCGTTAAGCTGCGGTGGTTCTGACAACAGCTGTGGAGAATTCATCTGCACTTCTACAAACTGTCACACGTGGGTTCGTAAAGTTTTTGTTTTTAATATTTCGTAAAGCTCCGCAGTATTTCTGAAGGCCACTCGGGGAGTTTTCAGTTCTTAGTAAAGGTAACGGCGGGCGATCATGTTTTTGCTTGTGTCTGTGCCTGCCTGGCAGGAAACTGCAAAGAGTTGAACAAACACGAAACATGAAAACAACAATTAGACGACTGAAACAAGTTTCAATAGCTCTAAAATGATTAGCATTCCACAGAGGATCTGCGTCTGACGACTCTCAGCTACTACCACTTGAAGTTTAGATCAGTGTTCACGATCAGTTAACGATGACTCCAAACAAGTTGAAGAAGTTTCGTTCAGATCTGTTCAGTGATTCGTGTCTCACTCGTGCTGAGCGTTTGTAGTTTTTGAGACGAGTGTTTTTCTGGACAGGAACTGAGCAGTGAATGAAAGTAAACCTAAATGTTTTTGATCTTCAAGTGGGGACGAGGGACACTGTGGAGGAGAGCAGAGGAAGGTGTTTTTATTTTCATTTGCTTGTTTGAGGCAACACAGTGACGGATCCTGGTGGGTGGAGGGAGCCATTTTATCCACCACCACGTGCATGGAGGAGCCAGGGGGTGGCCACTGGTGGCCTTGACCCCATAGACGAATCTTCAGCCACCCGACTCATTTGAGGAAACTATTTGTTTGAGCAATATAAAAACTAGAAGTCGTGGTTTCCTAAAATAATTGGGGTGGCCAGTTTACACACGCACAGGGACACATACATGTATGGTGGTGGCCATCTTGGATTTGGACATGGCAACCCAAGTTTTGATGGTAACCCTACGCTTAGATACAGTTGCATACCAAGATGGAAGTTGGCACGTTGCTTCCAACTCATAAGGGTCACATTTGTGGCAGCAGCCACATTTCATTAACTTTTCATTCTTGTTTGTCTCCGAGTTGGGACTGTCCCCAGATTTAAGTTCAGAAATCTGGTCACCTTATGTTAGCAGTGAGTTTCTGTTAGCCCCGTTAGCGCAGCGAAGGATGACTGCCCTCCAGGACTGGATCCGGCAGACACAGAACATCCCAGGTCTCCCTGCAGAACTGAACTGTTCCATAGAGTTCGGTCCGTGCAGGAGGATCACGGAGACGTCCGCCATGAAGGCCGGAGGCTGAGCCCGAGGCTGGAGGGGGCCGGGAACTGAACCACGACGGCAGGATGGCAAGGCAGCGACACACAAACTCCAAAAGTGCGTCACGGTCTTACCGGCAGCGTGGGTGTGCAGTGGAGGAGCAAAAGCAGTTAAAACAAACAAAAGAGGAACAAAAAAAAAGAGCGAGTCGAAGAAGAGCTCCCGTCGTGCACTGTGGTGCACGTGACGTTAAACTGTAAGCTCTTTAAAAAATGAACTTCTGAGTTCATCTTTAAAAACTGGACGTGAGTCAGCAGGAACTGGTTCAGTGAGTCAGCATGAACTGGTTCAGTGAGTCAGCAAG